GAAGACACTGGATAGCTCATTTCTGATTATGCTTTGATTTTGCTATTGCAAAAACCAAACCCATTGGAAAGGAAACTGAAGTATCTGAAATAACGAATCATACGAACTCCCCCAGGCCTTTGGGCAGGGCTCACTGTCAGTTTGTTTCAGGGTAGAATGCAATGCTGATTTTTTTTCCCCCCATCAGTTTGAAATTACCAGAAGACACTGGATAGCTCATTTCTGATTATGCTTTGATTTTGCTATTGCAAAAACCAAACCCATTGGAAAGGAAACTGAAGTATCTGAAATAACGAATCATACGAACTCCCCCAGGCCTTTGGGCAGGGCTCACTGTCAGTTTGTTTCAGGGTAGAATGCAATGCTGATTTTTTTTCCCCCCATCAGTTTGAAATTACCAATAAAATAGGCCTTCACAAGTATCAGTAATGCAATCTACAATATAATAGAAGGGTGACAGAGGGCTTGAGACATTTATCTGTGCGCTGGTTTTCTCACTAATTACCAGCTAATCACCAGTGTGGGATGACCTGAATGCTACAGGATTGCAAAACATCAGGTAATAAAGAACATAAAGGAACATTTCTAGTATGGCTTTTTTCTGTTCATTGTAAGATGTACAGCACTCAGTTCAAAAGCACTGCCTTGACTTTCAGTTCCATTTTTGGTACGTAATAGCCTCCTTTAATAACTGGAGGAGGATCTATAGAAATCGGTAGACTATTGTCTCTCTTCCCAGCAGTCTCTCTTTTGGTTCTGTTTGTCAGATGCTAAAAGATCCCAATTTCACCTTTCTCACAACGAATTTTGTATGAAAACAAAACCTGTGCTTGATTCCTGATTTTCTCCTTCTAAGAACAATATGGTCAAGCAATATAATTCCACACTTCAAGTTGAAACAATGCCAGGATGTCTATTCCATTTTATTTCTCAGACAAACATAAAATGAAATCAATCAATAGCTACTGCACTGGCGTACAAGGAATAAGATACTGCCCAATCTCCTCTTAGACCCAGTAAGAAGAAGAGACCCACTGGAGATGGGAACGTCTCAGAGGTGTGGCCGTGTTAGTCTGTAACTTTCATAACAATGAGCAGTCCTGCAGCACTTTAGCCCTAGTCTACACTGGAACCTTAGTCCGAAATACCCTACCCCCTGTTCAAATTTGTAAACAATGCGTCCACACTACCAAGCCATATTTCAGAATAACGGGCCACAGAATTTAAACTCCTGGGCTGTGTCTACACTGGGCCACTTATTCTGGAAAATCAGCCGCTTTTCCAGAATAAGCTGCGAGCTGTCTACACTGGCCTCTTGAATTTCCGGAAAAGCAACGATGCTCTACTGTACAAAATCAGCCGCTATTCTGGAAAAACTATTCTGCTCCCGCTCGGGCATAAGTCCTTATTCCGGAACACTGTTCCGGAAAAGGGCCAGTGTAGACAGCCCAGTAATCTTTTCCGGAAAAAAGCCCCGATTGTGAAAATGACGCTCGGGGCTCTTTTCCGGAAAAGCGCATCTACATTGGCCACGGACGCTTTTCCGGAAAAGGGCTTTTCCGGAAAAGCAGCCTGCCAATGTAGACGCTCCTTTTCCGGAAAAACTTAAAACGGAATACTATTCCGTTTTAAGCAGTTCCGGAAATTCTTGCCAGTGTAGACGTAGCCCTGCTTTTCATGAGGAATAACGCTATAGGTACAAAATAACGTTAGTGTGGATGCTCTGATGCCACTAATTTGAATTGATTGGCCTCCCGTAGCTGCCCAGGGGCTCTAAGTCTGAGGTAGTGCGTCCACATTAATGAAACCCACCTCAGACTCATTTTGAGGCTTCCCCGTAGCGAGGACATGCAAGTTCAAATTTGTTAAATTGGGAAGTCTTAACTCAAATGTACTAATTTCAAAATAATTTCCCAGTGTAGACATGGCTTTAGAGACCAACACAAATATATAATATCACGAGCTTTCGTGGGTAAAACCCACTTCCTCAGATGAGATGGAGAAGTGAAAGACACAGGGGCTTTGTCTACACTGCAGGGGTTTTGTGCAAGAAGAAGAGTTCTTGCGCAAAAGCATGTCCACACCTCAAAGCGCACCGCAAAAGTGCTGTGCTTTTGCACAAGAGGGCGTCCACACTGCATGGACACTCTTGCGCAAGAAAGCTCTGATGACCATTCACAGAATGGCCATCAGAGCACCTCTGCTTTTTCCCATAGGAGTTTCTTCCGCAAGAAACCCCTCTGGAGCGTCCATACCTGCCTTTTTGCGCAATAGCTGTAGCGCAAAAAGGAGTTATGCCTCGTGGAAGGAGGTTTATCTACACCGGCAAAAGCCCTCTGTTTTGCCATTTTACTGCCGATTTACTTGCGCAAAAGCACATTTGAGGTGTGGACGCTCCACAGGTTTTTGCGCAAAAACCTTGCAGTGTAGACATAGCCATACTTGATAACCCAGTCCATACTCCCAGAACTAGTACAAGTTTTAGGCCTTGATCTACTAAATCTTTAAACCCAGCACTGCTTATGGGGCCAGTTTTGCCACCCGTAAGTAGTGCCCGGCCGTCCTTTACTTTTAGTTCCGTCTTGCTGAGATCATGGGCACTATTCGCAGAACATGTTCTGGCTGCAGATAATTAAGGTCGATAAAGGTGAATAATGGTCTGCAGTACCATCCCTTTAGTCCTCCAAGGAAAGGCTGGGTCTGATCCTACGCCAGCAGCAGCTGGTCTGCAGTAAGTCTTTGAAAAAAAATGTTTCAGCACGGACAAGTGCAATATCTTCTTAAACCCCTCCAGCCACGATTCTCAAACTGTGGGTCCCGACCCCGCAGGTGTCACAAGCAAATTAGAGAGGGGTCGTGAGCAACTTAGAGTGGGAGTTGTGGTATCACAAAGTTTGAGAACCCCTACCCTACAGGATCTCCCTACGGGTATGTCTACACTACAGAGGTTTTTTTTTTTTTTTTGAAAAACAGCCATTTTTCCGGAAAAAAAACTTCACTTACGTCCACACTGCAATCACGTTCTTTTGGAAAAAAACTGAAAGTACAGAGGGGTTTTTCCGACATTGGTAAACCTCTTTCTATGAGGAAGAAGCCTCTTTCTGAAAGAGCTCTTCTGGAAAAAGGCGTGCGTGGACGGGGAAGAGGGAGTTTTTTCAAAAGAAGAGGAAAAAGCACAGGTGCCCTGGTCCATAGTAATTACAGCTTACATGCGAGAGAGCGTCCATTCAGTGTGGTTTTGCTGTGTAGACGCTCTCTTTCGGAAGACGTTTTTTCGGAAGATCTCTTCCGGAAAAGCTTCTTCTGAAAGAAGCCTGCCGTCTAGACATAGCCTACCTCTGCGCTGCTTGTCTGAAATCCAGTCCTTTGCTTAAACAGGGGTGGGGAATCTTTTTTGGGTTGGGGGCCACTGGCCTACAGAAAAATCAGGCAGGAGCTGCGCACAATTGAGAAACAAAACAAAAGCAAACAAAAAACCCTCCCCCTCTGGCGTGGCCCCAACTGAGAAGGAGAAAGACCCTCCTCACATTCCCCTCACACACCAGAGCCTAGAGGAGCCCAGCCTAGTAGATTGTGTGTGCTCCAGTCCTGCAGGAGGATGGTGGGGAGGAAGGGAAGGGGATGGAGCACCAGCACGGACACCCCAATGCTGGGGGGAAGTTGGGGGCTGCATCCGGCCCACGGGCCTGAGGTTCCCCACCCCGGCTTAAGGAACATGGATGCTGTGAACATAAAAAGTGAGGAAGTGGGTCTGGCCCACGAAAGCTCATCATCTAATAAACCATCTTGTTAGTCTTTAAAGTGCTACATAGTGCTGTATAAAAAGTGAGACACTTTTCAAAAAGTTACTAGCAGTCACTGTGCTTAGTAAACACACTATCATCACCCCCACATACGATACATTTTGATTCCCTAAAAAACATCGTTTGGTGCAGTGTAAATTCTGGGTCTGATTTACTCCTACTCTGAATCTGCTGTTCCACAGGTCCCTGGGGAAATGCCCCTGATCAATGGATTACTATTTGTATCACACATGCACCTAGGAGCCCAACTCATGGGCCAGGACTAGTGTTCCCTGCAAGCTGAGCATTTGCGCAGCCACTTTGGAGAGATGCAGATGCCACCCAGCTGATTAGCAGAGCACTCACAGCTAGGTGTTTTGTTTCTACGGGTGGTGCACATCCACACATTCCCGAGGGCACATACAATTTATTCTGCACGTGGATGGAAAAAGTCCGCGCAGCGAGGGCACATACAATTTATTCCGCACGTGGATGGAAAAAGTCCGCGCAGGGCTGGAAAAGTTTAGAGGTGTGCCAGGTGCTATACACATACAGAGCAAAAAGACAGGCCAGATAAGATTGACCACCACGGGCAAATCAACATCTAACTGGTGATATGGAATTTTTTCCCCTCTTCCACAGGATGCTTGGACTGATGAGAAAGGGCAGGTTCACATGGATTCCCAGCAGGACTACCAGCTCCTGAAAGCACACAGAACCCCTGAGGGACTCTACCTGATCTTCAACCGAGCCTTCAGCACCTGCGATCCGAAGGACTACCTTATAGAGGTACTGCCGTGCCGAGCCATGGGCAGAGGCAAAGCGCCGGCTCAGTATTTCTCCTGTGTACGGGATGGTCTGTACTCCCGGGAGCTCTGCCATGCAAGTGGATTGGCGCATTGGGATCACTTAGCATTGCGAGCACAGGACTGAACTGATAACAAAGAGGTGAAATCCTGGCCCTACTGAAGTCACAAAAAGCCTTTGTGATCTGGTGAGGTTTAAATAGCTGTGGTCTAGTGGTTAGAGCTCTAGGTCAAAAGTCAGCAAGACTAGGGCTGTGGATTGAAAGCCAGGGCACTTGCACGTCTGAGCACACTTACATGGGTGTACATTAGGAGCAATGTTCCCTCTCATTTTTTTCCATCCACGGGCGGAATAAATTTTGTTAAGTGGACAGAGGCATGTGCAGATGTGCACCACCAGTAGAAACGTATGCCCCTGAATCTCTCCTGGGTGGCCGCTCAAGTGCTCGGCTTACAGGGAACACTGCTTAAGAGTCACTCCATTGTAAGGAGTGAGTTATACGGGTGTAAAACGGGCATGATATCAGAATCCAGTCTCTGGCTGTGGCTGTGACATGCTGTGTGAATGCAGATATGTGGTCTCACTCCTCTGTGATTCATGTGCACAAAGACATTACATACACCAGAGGTGGGCAATAAAACAGAGGCAGTTTGCCAGGGTTAGGCCCGGGTGGGCCACTGCCGCTTTATTTACCTGCACCTCCACAGGTACAGCTCCCTGTAGCTCCTATTGGCTGTGGATCACCATTCCTGGCCAATGGGAGCTGCGGGAAGGGAATCAGACCAGGACATAAGAACAGCCAAAGGTCCATCTAGACCAGTATACTGTCTGCCGACAGTGGCCAATACAGCCGAACGCATAAACTTATGACCATTCATATTTACGACCAACAAACGCATAAACTTACGACCATTCATATTTACAACCAACCTCCTATACAGCCGGAACCCGAGTTACGAACGAAATCCGCACTTACAAACAGCACGGCCGTATGTAAGTGAATGTAATCCAACTTACGAACAGATCGAGTTATGACCTAGTATTTGGTACATAACTTGTTCATAAGTCAGAGACCAGCTGTACCAGATGCCCCAGAGGGAGAGATCACAACAGGTAATCCTCACTTGATCTCTCCCCTGTCTCCCACTTCCAGAGAAACAGAGGCTCGGGACACCATTCCTACCCATCCTGGCTAATAGCCATTTATGGACCTAACCTCCATGAATCTATCTAGCTCTATTTCGAACCCTGTTAAAGTTCTAGCCTTCACCACATCCTCTGGCAAGGAGTTCCACAGGTTGACTGTGCACTGAGTGAAGGATAACTTCCTTTTGTTTGTGTTAAATCTGCTGCCTATTAATTTCACTAGCCAATTAGCCCGTCATAAGACGGGATTTTCAGGTCTCTCCTCCACGTCGGTTTTCTCTCCTGAGCCTCCAGTCTCTCTCTCTCTCTCAGCTCTCTGTCTCTCTCTTTCTCTTCTCCTTCGCCTCCTGCCTCTCACTTGGGGGACTGCGGAGCCCAAACAACTGTTTGGGCTCTGTGCTCCCCGTGCTGCATGGGGAGCGCGGAGCCCAAATAGTCGCTTGCACCACTTGCTCCCATGTGGCAGCCCCA